GCGGCACGCTGGCCCCATGGCGGCTCCCGCGATGGCCGAGCCGCGCTCCAAGCGGCCCCGCGTCACGCTGCCCGCCTGCCCGGCGCACCGCCCGCTGCCCGGCAGCCGGGTGAGGCAGAGCTTCCCGCCCGCCGTGGAGGAAGGCCTCTGCGGTGTCACCGGCGCCCTGCTGGAGCTCGCCTACTACCTGCAGGCGCTGGTAAGGCGCGGGCCGGGAGCGGGCGGGGAGGTCCTGGGAGCCATGCCCGGGCGGCGGGGTGAGGAGGTGCCCGGGGAGCGGGGCAGGTCCTGCCTGCCCTGTCGGAGGTTCAGGAGGGTTTCTGAGTCGGGCAGGGAGGGAAGAGCGGTAGCTGGCCCAGCGGGATTTGGAGGCTCTCTGCACCCAGCTCCCGGCAGAGCCGGCTGCCGGCCCGTGCCGCTCTCCCGGGGCTTACCTGGTGACAGGGCGAGAGAAACCACCAAGGTCTGGAACAAGCGGGTGATGAATCGGGAACTCGTGTATTTTGGGTAATTGATGGACAGAGCTATGCCTCTGGAAAGGGGGATGCGACCAGAGAACGCTGACACTTTTGGAGTAAAACTCCTGTGTGGTTTTTTGCCAAGCTTTGTACGGAAAATAGTTGTGTGTGGTTAACTGCTGAAATAACAGTTTGTGAATGTTGCTGTTGGCTGAGGGGCTTTTGATCCACAGCCAGGAACATTGGACTTGAATTAAAACTTATCTCTGATACTGTGTAACATGCATGCCAAAATTGTGTCTGGCTACATAACAAATTTTAAAGTGCATATATTAAATATGTTTACATAAAGCCATTAAAATAAATTAAAAAAACCCCAAAATGATCAATGCCATTCTTTCTGATGCCAAGCATCAGCTGAGAAGCAACACAAACTATATTCAATATATTCCCAAGATCCCGTGATCAAGCTTGGTGTCAAGTATTAGTCCAATAAAAACTTAAGTGTGCAGTAAAACCTCTACTTGTGAAGCATGTGGATTAAAATAATACTAGTGATTGGCAGCTGGGTGGGATGGAGAAAGAAAGCTTGATTAGAAATTGACTGGATAAATCAAAACTAGAAATGTGACCATCTTAAATGGTTAATGATGGACATAAAAGACTTACCTTAACAGTTAAGCAGGTGCGGTTACTTGTTCTCTACTTGAAGTCAAGCAGCGCACTTGTACTGAGGAGCTGGTTATAAAACAATCTTGACTCCCCTGTCAACAGAAACATGAATGAATGACTTCAGGAAAAGGATTATGCAAATATTGCAATGAATGGTCTTAATAAAAATTCCAGTATGTACTTTATCTTGAATAGTTTATGGTATGTGTGCCACAGGTTTGGGGCATCCCAGATGGCCATAAAAAATGTAAAAGAAAAACATAAACTTGTACCGTGTGTATAAATTTTCTGCATTTTTTCTAGACAGAGCAACACAGATGAAACACATGTATTTAATAATTAAGCAGGGTAACAGACGAAAGCGGTGAAGGCCAGAAGCAGCAGAAAAACTTAGGAAAAGCACATATTTGTTCCTTACCCCTCCTAGGACGGCTACAAGCCAGTGGCTGGATCTGCAGTGTTCCAGTTGAGAGTATGTGCAAGAGACAGAAGCTGTGCTGCATGGCATGTGCCTGTTTAGGGAGCCAGCAGATCAAGATGATGGAGCTCCCTCAGTTCAGTTTTTGGCATGTTCCCAGCTGCTGCCTCTCATTCTCCTCAACACGGGAGCTGCGCAGAGCCAATGTTGAAACTACTATACTGGTGGCTGGTAGCTCTCCTTTGCTGCCCTTCTCTAATACATTCTCTTTATGGGACAGCAATGCTATGGATAAAATTCCTCAAATGTAAGACCTGAGAGATCTATTAGCACAGTTAAATATTGCAGTGGCTAAAGTTGCTACTTTCCCATACAGAGCAGAACAAGGCCTGCGGTAGATTTAGGGTTGTAATACTTCTGAAGTATTCCTAGGCATGAGCTACATGTAATGCTAAAGGTGTATACGGGATAGAGGATAGTTCAGTAGCAGTATTCTTTATTTTGGAATAACATTACCCATAATAAAGCTGATAAATAGATACAATGTGCTTGTTTTCTTTTTGGTATTTGCCTCATCTTTCTCATACCTTTGAAAGCTAGCTTTCACAGGAATGCTGACCTGAAGGGATAAATCTTGATGTTCCCTGTGCTGGGATTATGTTTAAAAACAAAAAACCCAAACAAAGACCTCACACAAAACACAACAAAAAAACCTACATACACACCCAACCACTTATAAATAAATATTCTGAGGATCTCTGACTGCTACTGAGGGAGAACATCAGTACTATAGCTACCTGTGCAATATTAAAGGACAGAAGGAGTTCTAGTAGAAGTATAGAGATGTTTCATTTAAGACCATAACTACTTACCTCATTTATTGCAGAAATTTGCATTAAGGTCTTCAGAGGGATTGTGCTGGTAGAATAGCTTCCCTTGGAAGGGTCTCTGGAATTCTGATAAAGCCGTGTTCTGCTGCAAGTGAGTCCCATCTCCAGCAAATCTTAACACTTGTGTTTTGTGTGCTTAGGGTGAATATTTTGATCAGTCGCATGTGGCTCTACCAAATGTTTCTAAGTTCTTCTTGCATCAAGCTCTGGAAGAGAGAAAAGCCGCAGAGGCTTTAATGAAGTATCAGCAAGAAAGAGGAGGCCATTACTGTTCTAAAACCATCCAGGTGGGTAATGGACAACAAGCTTTCGAGTAGCTGCAATCTGCAGTAATTACTCTAACTTCTTGCATTACATTGTTGGTACTTCAGATCTCTGCATTCATCTACTGTTGTATTTCCAGATATCATTTCCCTGTCATATTACTGTACATGAGTTTGTTCTTGATTGTGCTGCTTAGAAACTGTCAGACATACAGTCCTAACTCTAGGTGGTTGTTTTCTAGCCCAAAAGAGTATGAACAATGGTCCACTTTTTCTTCACTCAGCTGGGGACTGCTGTTTCCAGTGTGCTGTAATGGATTATGAAACTCCTTAAACTGTGCTGAAACAGCCCACTTGTCTCCTTCACATTCAAACCAAACAGAAGCCTAGAAGCCATTAACATCTAAGAAAGGTGGTAAGGAAGGAGATAGGAGAAACCTTCAGCTTGGGGCTGTGCTGGAGCACAGCTCAAGATAGAATATGAACTAGAGATCTGACTTAGGCTTGCACACGTACAAAAGAATAACTCAAAACTATCAGGAAAAGAAACCCTCCTTGTTTGTTAAAGGTCAAGATGCTGATTCTCCTCTAGCAAACTAGTATTCTGTAAGTTGTTAATACGGAATGCTCTTCTTTGGCCTATCATAGCAGTTGTTAAGCTGCAGAAAGTAAAAATAACAAGGCCATATTGAAGAACTTTCTAAATATTGTTTGAATCAGGGTAGACCTTATAACAGCCTTCCAGTACTTAAAGGGGGGGCCTACAGGACGGGTGGGGAGGGACCCTTTACCAGGAAGTGTAGTGATAGGATGAGGGGTAATGGTTTTATACTGAAAAAGGGTAGATTTGGATTAGCTATTAGGAAGAAAGTCTTTACTGTGAGGGTGGTGAGACACTGGAACAGGTTGCCCAGAGAAGCTGTGGATGCTCCGTCCCTGGAGGTCTCCAAGGCCAGGCTGGACGGGGCTTTGAGCAACCTCGTCTAGTGGGAGGTGTCCCTGCCCATGGCAGGGGGCTTGGAACTGGATGATCTTTAAGGTCTCTTCTAACCCAAACCATTCTGTTATTCTATGGTAGGGTTTCCTGGTGTAAGAACTCTCCTTGGGCATAGCTGCTGCTATCTAAATCTCTGTTCCCTGAAAAAATGCTTGGGTTCTGCCACTTCTGTACGTTTACAGCCATCTAATTCTGCAAAAAAAATCCCAGATGCTCCAAACTATAAGGAGTTGTTACAAAATCCTAGCACATCTTGTTTGGAGTCCCCAGGTAAGTTGCAGGAAACCATCAATGAATAAACTAAGATGAGCTGTTCTTCTGAATAAATGTAATTCTGTCTTTGTTTTTAGAAACCAAACTGTGAGTATGCAGTCGGTCTGATGAAAGCCCTGGAAGTAGCAATGATACAGTGGAAAACTATGATACGATTTTTTGAAGAGCTTTATGCCCTGAGTATTGAAAATGCAGACCCTCATAGCGCAAGCACTATCAAGAAACAATTTATCAGGCCCAAAATCCAGAAGATCAAGATGATGGGAGATCTACTGACCAATGCTCGCAGGCTTGACTGTTCCCAAGATGGCAGAAATAGTCTTGGGGATTACTTTATGGACCGATTTCAGAAAGAGTTCAGAACAGGCATAGAGCCAGAGTCTAGTCAGCACTGCAGCCCCTGCCCGCCTCTCCAGCAGTGCACAGGAGCTGCAGAGGGTGTGAAGCGACCCCAGAGAGAATCTTCCCAGCACAGAAACGGCATAGGGCCAATATATGCAACCATACACTGCACTACCACACTGCCCTTGTGTAACGATGGGACAGGAGCAAAAGCAAAGCAGGGCAGGGAGGGCCTTTAATGCTGTTGCAGCTACGGGGCAGCTCCTAAGGCAGACCTGTAACAGAGGGTGGACTTGAGACCAGAACTCAGGAGATGTGATGCTGTATCGCTCCTCCTGCTTTACACCCTGTTCCTTCATCCTCTGTTGAGCCACAGCTCAATTGAGCCCATACCGTTATTTTGTTTAAATGGTAGCAAGGTCACTAGTTATCTAGATAGTCTGCATTAGTCACCCTTTTATCTATGCAATTCTTTCTAGAAGCCAAAAGCTTTTAAGCCTCCTTTTTGTCTCAAATGATTAAGAGTTAGTGCAAATTATTTCTAATGGTATATAACTTTTACTAAAAAAAAAAAGCAACTTTAGTACAAGGAAACCTCTATATGACAGAAAATCCAAAGATCTAGTTTTATATTAAATATTTTATATTACTAACAGATATTTTACATTACTAACAACTATGCTAACATAAACTTTTTAAAAAGACTTGTTTTAAAGCAAAGTTTTCTTGTCTTATTTCTATTGTAGTAGCAATTTAAGTAAGTAATCTAATTAATTTACTTACCACCCAGCTATTTTTAATGGTACACTTCTCCAAGATGAAGGATGAAAACATCTCCTCAATATTGAGAATAAGACAATGTGCTGGGTTTCTCAACAGTTATTTGCCTAGTTAGCTTTTCTCATCCTCAGAAAGCAGATGAGGGAGAAATTAGGGGTCTCATTAGATGTGATCTTTACAGGTTCCAGTGTGTATTTTCCAAGTGTCACTGACACTAATTCTAGGGCTCTGTCCGGACTTAACCTAGGATGGTTGCTTTAACTACGACACAGACCCCTATTTCACCTAACTAAATTATGGTACTACTGCTATTCCTTGTATTCCCTGTCTTGGTCCTCAGTAGAGGAATAAGATCCTAGTGAAAATGCAGCACACTTAACTAGAATTGCATCATAGAGCATGGCCACTCATTAGTTTTGCATTTCAATTTGGCCAGTGTTCAATTAGGGGGGCTATTAGCACCACCACACCTAAGGCTTTTGCTTCAGCCAGCTTGGTTAAAGTTCAGAGGTGTCCAAATTCCTTCCATTCATCTCCTACAGAGGAGTGCCGCTCTTTCTGTACGCTGGCTACCAAGGTCACCTCAGATGAAAAACTGGCAAGATCAGCTGCCTGCAGCTAGCTTTTTTAGTCATTATGTACAACACCTTTTATGTAATTAGGGTTTGCTTCATTGAAAGACCGTCTCATGCTTTTATGTAATACTGTAAGCAATACTCCTGTTATGCTTGAAAATAAATTCAGTTAAAATTGCACTTTGTATCTACATTGTATTCCTCAATTTACCACATAGACATGCCAGTATTCTTCTGCAAGAGATTCTGCACATGTGTACAATACTGCACCAGTACTTTTCTACTACTAAGAAAGTTGCAGAGAGTTGCACAGAGTGAAAATGCCAGAAAACTGCATTTAGATAAGAACACTGTGCAATGAAACATTTTCAGTAAACTGACTTCTATTGACAGCTGCAATTAAGTAGCCATTTCTGCAAAACTGTCTTAGCCCACCTACTTTCTGTTGGTGTTGTAACACAGGACAGACAATTACAATGCAGATGCTTTTCCAATACTTCTACTAATACGATTCAACCTTGGGGAGGGGGGGGGCGGGGAAGGGCATTCCTTTAAAACAACCCCTGTATTCATCTGTAAAAATACTGCAGCGTGCCAGAAGAATGAGATGAAGCACTTTTAGCAACGTGCTAGATTTGTCCATGTTGAGATGGCTGCTCTCTAATACAGCAGTAGTTTAAAATGTATTTCCATCTGGGCTAGATTCCATCACCCATCTTCATGCTGAGCATACCTTATTCAACAATTAGTTCCACTGACTGCAACTCAACATGAATAAGAGCAATGGAATCCATCCCTCTCAGTATTAAAATACAGCTCACTAAGTATGAACAGAGCAAAGCTACTAACGGAATTATAAACTACCACCGTACAAAACCACTTCAAATACTACTGGTAACGTTTGACCTACTTCTACAACAGTCTTCTCCTTTAAGAGTTGGTGACCTGAAATGTAGGTACAGCCTCCTCCATGGTTTCCAGCATTTAAGACTGTCTTTTACTTTAAATGAATTCCAACATAACAAAGAGCCAAACATTTAAATTTTTCAAAGCAGGACTTACTCATCTTTTTCCCTGAAATACTGCTTTGCCGGTTTCTCAGAAACTGCTCATATTCATCTTGCCAGCCAAATGTATCCATACATTCTCGGATTTCAGGTCTTTCTCTCTCCCTTTTCCATACACATTCTGGGCCCTCTGCCTGAAGAGACAATTAT